TAGATAGATAGATAGATAGATAGATAAATAGATAATTACTTCTGGAAAGAACTCCATATTCCATATTCTTTTTATTTACTAAAGCAAAGTTGGGCTTATCTTCTAAGGCAGCTGCTAATGAATTTTCATTCAAAATAGTAAATTAGTATCCACACTGTAATATGTTTAGAGTGAAAAAGGATTCTATGTGCAACTGTACCCAACAGGTTCCACTCCTGGAAAGCTGAATTTTATTCTTTAATGATATTATGATTGGGTTAGATGCCACTGTTATATCCCTCTTCCATGCTTACATTCTACATGGGGTAGATATTAGTGGGGGATTCCCAAGTATTATTAATATTTCCCTTCAGCAAATCACTTAAATTATATATTTTGTAAGATTTTCTTATCACTTCCTTTTTTTGTCTTTTTTTTTAAATTTTTTTAAACCAGGAGCAAACTTCTTTGCTCAAATAGTGTGAATACTTAGTGAATATTTGGGGAAAGAATCAATATCCTAAAGAAGCTAGGAAATTTGGGTCATTTAATAAACCTTTTAGTATAGGTAGGTGGATATTTTTAGATGCTCATTAGTGGGAATGAATCATTAAAAAGGTACATGTATGTGTCTGGATGAAATATATATACATATGTGCATGTTATATATTCAGCTTAAGATAGAAAAGCAATGAACACGTTAGCATTTCCTTCTCTTCAACCAATAATCACTCTAATTTGATGATTCCTTAATTTGGTTGTCTATTTCAAACAGAATTCCTCTGTAGGTCAAGATAAAACCTCATATATTCACACACACCTCCCATTGATTTCACTTGGGTGAAACTTCATCGTTTAAGCAAAGTTTAAGTTGAAATGTTGAGTTAATGATGCCCACTTTAAATACCAAAGGCTGAATGCATTTGTGTATTAAACACTTAGCTAGTCAGGCAGAATTCCCATCGGGATGCGAGAGAAGAGACATTTCTGAAACTATGTCAGCCTCACTAATGTATATCGCCGTTCTGTCTGCAGGAGAAAAGGAAAAGAACCAAATCAACTTGATAGTGTTCATATACTCATGGGAATGTAATCCCTTATGAAATTTCCTGCCACTTAACTGCACTATCAGTTACCTCTTCTCTGTTGAAGGAGAGACCTGGATATTTTCCACTGGAAAGTCAACAAAAGAACTGGGGTGTGAATTCAGTTGATCCAACTGGCATATGCTTCAAGGGGAAAAAGAGCTGCTAACCAGTTCTGGGGTACCATTGTGATGGAGTCAAGAAGTCAGACTTTTCTGTTTACTACACAGTAGTTGACACTTGACATGGAAGATGCTGCCTCTCAATCAAATCATTTGAAAAATACATGTCTTTTGAAGTAATATAAAGATAAAGAAGTCTTAATAAATTCCAAACCTACAAAGTTTCCTGTAATGGTGTGCAGATTAAACTGTAAACATTTCAGAATGTTTCACAAGAGTCAACCAAGAAATTCAGGAACCATTTTTTTATTTGCTATGAAGTTATTTATTTCATTTTATTAAATTTGAAAAATCTGATGTTTTCCTACAAAATGACAAATTAACACATGACCAATATTACCAGGGGCAAATGCCTTTTTAAAAAAATCTTTCTTGCTTTCTGCATAAGGACTTTGTGATAATTTTGGGGGGACACTGGTGCAGATTCTACATTAAAGGACCAAAATATGTTAGCAAAGCATTCACAGAGAACTTGTGAAGTAGATCTTAAAAATGCAATATTAAACCTAAATATCCTTAGCTGCGAAGAGAAGAGAGTCTTGGAGATGCACCTTTGTGTGGCTCATCTCACATGCCCAAATCTCCAGTGTGGGATAAGAACTCAACTCTGCATTCAACAGCAACATCCAGCTTGCTCTAAGGCCCATCGTAAGAACTAATAGAAGGGCCATTCTCTTTCAAAGCGCCACGACAGTGACCAAAACCAAACCAGAGCATCTCAGAGCATAAAGGAAGGATGCATTTTAAGATCAGCATTGGAGTGGTAACTATGTGTTAGTCTCCTCAATTCGTTCATTCTCCTGAGGGAGTGATATCTTAGTTGATGCTCAGGTTCTCATATCTCTTGTTCTCCATCCTTTTCTCTGAGATGACAGTTGAGCAAACAAGTTTGCAAGACCTTGGGATTCTGGACGGCAATGGCTAAACATAGGGTTTTGGTGCAGGCTAGCTAGGTTGTCTCAAGCAAGTCGCACCTTGAAGACAGCTGTGGTTGTTTTACCTTTTGTTATCTCTTAGCTTGGTCAGGCCCTAGTGGAATTCTTTCTTTTATTGATTTTATTGAGCTATCCATTTTTCTCTGCTCCCCTCCCTGCTTCTCCCTTGCCTTCAACCCTCTCCCATGGTCCCATGCTCCCAATTTACTCAGGAGATTTTGTCTTTTTCTGCTTCCCATGTAGATTAGATCTATGTATGTCTCTCTTAGGGTCCTCATTGTTGTCTAGGTTCTCTGGGATTGTGAATTGCAGGCTGGTTTTCTGGTTTTTTTTGTTTTTTTCTTTTTTTGTTTTTGCTTTATGTCTAAAAGCCACTTATGAGTGAATATATATGGTATTTGTCTTTCTGGGTCTGGGTTACCTCACTCAATATGGTGTTTTCTAGAGCTATCCATTTGTGTGCAAATTTCAAGATGTCATTATTTTTTTCTGCTGTGTAGTACTCCATTGTGTGATTCTTGCTGACTAAGACTCATCCCAGCCTTCGTGGGTACTACCAATTTTCAAAGAGGCCTGGCATCGTATGCCTATGTGGGACCCCCCCCCCAACCTGCTTGTCCTTAGGTTCACTGTGCCTTCGTTGCTATGGTAACACTTCTGATCAACTTAGCCGTTGAACTTTCAGAAATATTGGCATTTTCTTGGAGAAGATTATGTCAATGGAGGCTTAATCAAAACTAGCTCCCCCCATATTCCCACCCACTTATTCCCACACCCCCGCCATTCTCTGATCCTCCCATCCTCCCTCAATCCTGCTTATTGGAGATATACCACAGAAGACAATCTCTATAGTCCCTAACAGGAGATGGAGCTGAGGATTATGGGTCTTTTTTTACCTCCCCATCAGCCTTCCTTACATGCTTCCTCTCTAAAACTTGGGCCAAAAGAGAAGAGGAAGGATGTTAAAGAGTCTAATCCTCGTGTCCTTACGTGGCTCATGTTCTCCAAACTCACTTCAATGAAGATCATTTATTGATCTCTCCCTCTGGTTTTAATATTTCTCCATATCCTATTCTCTAAATTTTGTGGGTGGCATTTAACTTTCTGCCAATTTTTATTGGTAAAATATTGGAAGGCAAAGGGAAAGGAAGTGGAAGCCATACTTTCAATTTTTTTTTTTAAGTGATCACACAAGCGAGGACTTCCTTACTGTTCACAGACTAACTTTGAAATCTTGGTGGTTCATTTATTCTCCTATAGTGGTTTGTTTGTGTGGAGTGGGAATACTAATTCAGATTTCACAAGGTTACTGGAAACCCTTTGCTCCTCAGAGTGTGGTCCCTGAACCAAAAGCATTGACGACACTTCTTAGAAATGCGGAATTACACCCTCCTCCCCAAGTATGAGTTAGTACCTTCAATTTTCTAGAATCATCAGCTGTGCCCCTATCTTCATTGAGTTGAGAAACATGGTTGTAGGCCACCATAGACCTGCCGAAGTTTGTGTCCACAGCAGCTAGACAGACCACTGGCGTCTAGTAAACACTCACTAACCAATTCCACAATCAAGAGTGTTTGTAAAGATGCAAAAACAATTAAAGCAACATAGGCAGCTCCGGATTTAGTCTTTCTGCTCCCAGATCCACTGTGAACTTGTTTGATTTATCTATTAAGTGTATGGCATACATTTTTTTTAAAGCGATCTGACAGCGAGAGACAAGAACAGAGCAGCACTGAAATCTTCCATCGGCGAATCCACATTCATAGCTGGGGTCACTGCTTTATGCGCACTAGCGGGAAATTTGCCCCCGCTGAGTTCGACAAAACTGTATTTCTCCGAAGGGTGGCTTGGAGGTGGGAGGACAAACTCCAAGTTTTCATCCTGTACTTTAATTTTCTGATCACAGTGTTGTAAACGAATCTGGGCTTTCCTTATTCACCAGGCTTTCAATAGAGAATCACATTAATCCTGCTAAGCTCCTTATTCTAATGATTTATTTTGTTGAAAACCATAGTGATCCTCCTTGAATTTTAATGATTGCTGGCTATTCAAAGATTCATTGTTTTGACTTCCTGTCCTTACCTTTGTTTCCTGCGTGTCTGTGGGGAACACCTGTCTAAGATTGGCTCTGCCACTGGTTCTCACTGGCTTCCCCGCATCACTCAGGCCGATCTCTGAGTGGTCCGCTGAAGTGCTAGCTGCTCATCCATGACAAGAATTGTTGGGTACATGCTTGTAGAGATAGACAGATAGACAGCAGAGGGACACATGAATGATTGAGTCATTTTCCAGTGAAAATAATGTTCTTGGTTTGTCAGCATGCGTTATCGTTGTTGAAAAAAATCTCGATAATATTTTTTAAGAATAAACTTATTGAGGTGCAACATCGAGGAAATTTAAACGAGAAAGCAATTAGGATTTTGAAGTGCTGTCTTTACCCCACATCTGGGGCAACGGGAACTTCAGCAAGTCTCAGACCCTCCTTTTTTCAGGCTGTGAAGTGATGGAGCTTCTTTTCAGGGGCACAATCATGGTCTCTGTTCAGACAGGGTTGGCAGATGGTAGTCACCATGGTGTGACTCAGGAGCAAGTACAGGAACTACATTTTGTGCTTTCAAAACCTAGGGAGTGGCTATGTCACAGCCTCAAGTTCCTACTTTGCCCTCTGTGTAGCCATACAGAGGGTTTTCCCTTCTCCCTGTACAGATATTCACCTAGGACCAGCATGGGTTTTCAAGAATACGTTATTCTAATATGAGATTTTTTTTTAACAACTACACTGTATTTATACATAATACACTTTTGTGCCTCGTCTCCAGGCTTCTGGACTTTGATTCAGAATATCAGGAGCTCTGGGATTGGCTGATTGACATGGAGTCCCTCGTGATGGACAGCCACGACCTGATGATGTCGGAGGAGCAGCAGCAGCACCTGTACAAGGTTAGAGCCACCCCTCCCTGTCTTCGCCTCGCTGTGCAAAAGCTGTCTCTCTCTCTTTCTCTCTCTCTCTCTCCCTCTCTCCCTCTCTCCCTCTCTCCCTCTCTCCCTCTCTCTCTCTCTCTCTCTCTCTCTCTCTCTCTCTCTCTCTCTCTCACACACACACACACAGGATAGCTTTGTGTTCACTGTATGTATCATGGTGTCTATTAGAATCCCCTCCCCTGTCCCCAAACTCGTTTCCATCCCCAGCGTGCTGGCAGGCTGCACCGACATCATAACTGCGAGAAAGTCCTCTTTATCGCATTCCATTTGCTGTAATTCCAAAGGAGGGCAGAGCTTTAACTTCAAGATGAATAGCAATAAATGAAACCGCATTAATAAAAAAAAAAAAGACTGGGCTGGACTGGCTGGTAACACTGAACAGTGTGTGTTTGGATTGGAGCACTCGGGGGGACTTGATCCACTCTTTTAGAGCTTCCCAGAAGAAAGAAATTTGCCTTGATTTTTGCCTTGTTGTTACCAAAGTATAGGGCTCGAGCCGTCTAAGGTATGCGAGTGACGCTTTGTAATTAAGTCTGTGCATTTTCAGGTGGCTTAAGAATTTTTGCTTGGAATTCATATTGATTTTAGGCAGTCCATCTGATAACTGTCTATATTACTTCCATGTCTGCTAGTTCCCCCCTTAACCTAAAGTGTTTGCCCAATTCTATTTCAATAGTCTTAAGAAGTCCTTACAAAACAATCATGTGATTTTTACTGGGGAAAAAGAATGACTCCGAGATGCACAGTCCCTGAGAAGCTGTGGGGGAAGAAAGAGGGATGTTCTCCTCAAATATCAGCCGCCGTAAATCTTTCTCATTTAAGCAATTTTTATTGGAGTAATTCTGACAGTTGTCATCCTTGAATTGCTTTGAGCATATGGCATATTTCAAAGAGCAGATTGTGAATCATAAAAAATAAAATTAATAACTAACCACAGAATCAGCAACAGTATAATGACAAGAAACAACTACCCTCTAGCTTTCTAAAAATTCTTAGCGAATGAGAAATACATCCAAGGTCAAATAAAAGTTACCGTCTTCAATATTACCATTTTAGGTAAACTTTCTTTAGTAAAGTATTTTAACTTTTTCCTCCTCTAAGGAGAGAGACACATACTTTTACAGTGTCTGATTGACATTAATTATTGTCCCTTGGGAATCATCTTACTTAAGAAAAGATATAGGCTCCCTAGGGACTGAGTAAATGGGGACATTGTACTCAATGAAGAATTCTGTTCAGCACTGATGTTGTTTGGTGACTTTTCTGTTTCCTGTAAAAGTAGCTGCCATACTTCCCCCCCAAAATTTCTGAAATAACATTGCTTGAGTAACAATTTCAAACTGATATTAACTATGGTTAGGCTATTTCACGCCTCATGTCAGGATCAGAAATTCCATATTAGAAATATTTATAAATCTATACTAATTTAGTGCTAGAAAAATATCCTGTTTCTAAGCCAATGCTGCAGAACTTACTGCAGTCACACTGCCAAGTAACAAATTTTTGTCTTCCTGATGCATTTTATATTTTGCATATAAGTCACTATTTTCTGAAACACTGCTATTCTTCATAAAAAAATCACAGTCATATAATTTACATCACAATTAATAGGAAGTCGTTGAATGAAGAAAGCAGTTGTCTTTTTGTGGCGGTTTCCTTGTAAGTGCTTTGCCTGAGAATTCCCACTTTGGCACACTGAGGGTGATTATTCCGCCCACTCGGGGCTTCTGGGTCAGAGTACTTTTCCAAACATTATCTGTATCGTGTTGTTTTCATTCGTGACTCATTCCATCATCATGTTTCTGCTTTTAGGACTTCAGCATAAACCAGTATTCTCTGTGTGTTTGTGGTTTGTCAAAAAAAAAAAAAAGAATAATAATCACGAAGAAACCATGGGAAAATGCTACAGGTCTGCAAGGGTCTTGGTGTGAGCCCCAAACAGTTGTAGAGAACTGGAAACTTCAAATGAATCCTGAGGATATGGCGTTAGGAAGCCTGTAATAGAAAAAATGACTGAGAATTGTTTGAGGTCTTGCCTAAGACTCCTTAGGGCTTCCTGGGTCAGGGCAGCATTTTCAATACTCTATTCCTCTATTCTAATCTGCTTTTTCAGGAATCCACTAAACTGACCACTTATTAGAGGAGACCTGGTAACCTATTGATCAAAGAGCTTCTGGAAGGGTTGGAGCTCTTTAATTGTTTCACAGGTCTTCGTAGGCTTTCAAATGCCATGAAACCATCTTGATCATCTTTAGTTTAAACATTGGTTTCCACCACCCCTGCTTATCAATGCTTTATCAAAAGTCTTGATATAAAAATATCACTGATATATGGCGGATAAAGGACGCTTGTGGGACCATGCCTTCCACCAGAGAATGTTTACTATTCTTCTGAGCTACTGTGACAATGTAAGATAATCTGAATCCACTTCAGAGAATTCCTAACCTATCTTACTTTAATTGTCTTCATTTCTTTTTACATTATTTTACAGTATGTATATGTGTGTGTGTGTGTGTGTGTGTGTGTGTGTGTGTGTGCGTGTTTACATCACCATTCTGCACGTGTGAAGGTCAGAGGACAATTTCAATTTATGGGAGTCGCTTCTCACCTTCTACCATGTGGGAGGCAAGGGCCAAATTCATGACCTCAGGCTTGGCACCAAGTATTTCTACATGCTGAGCCATCTTTCTGGTTCTTCTTATTTATTGAAAGTGTTAACATCGGGAGAAATGCCTTTCACTTACTACAAACACACACGCACACACACACACACACACACATACACACACCAAGCATGATAGAGCATGTCTGATGATGCATGCTTATAATCCCAGCTAGGAGAATAGCTTTGTGGGAGAGCACTTGCATGGCATACATGAGGCCCTGGGTTCAAATCCCAAAGAATACTGAAAAGTAGGAATAAAGCTCTTAGTAGGTGACACAATTGAGAGGGATGACTGTGAAAATTTCCAAAGGGACACACTCTCGAGTGAAGGTAGAAACTAAAGAAAATGTGGGCAAGGGCGGCCATTGTCCCTCCAAGGGCGGCCATTGTCCCTCCTATCCCAGCATCCAAAGTCTTTGTTCTTCTGTCCCTGGGGAGCTTGGTGTTCCAATACTGAACTCTTTCCCTGTCACAGACGGCTGTGTCCAGATCTACACGTTTGTATAGTCCTAAGTGACCCCCAAGGTCCACCTTTGGAAATGTCAGGTTATATAACAGCTAGCGTTTCTAGTCTCAGAAAGGGGCGGTCACTTAGTATTTTCTATACTAGCTGCTGATTTCCTGGCTGTCTCCATTTGCTTTTAATTTTTAGCCCCTGCTGGAAAAACCACCCACCCTCTCTGTGTAGGATACTTCTTGTTTATCCAAAGCCAGCCAAATACAAAGGAACATGCGCAGGGCAAGAATGGCACTGGAAAGGCAAAGAATATTGATATAAGATGGCATAGTTTAGAAGCCTCGCTACAGCAATGAAGTATACAGAGCACTTAATCCACATCTTGTTTTCAGATTGCTAGACATTTAAGACCCTTTCCTCCCTAATTAATTTTAAACTACATCATTTTGAGAAAACTCAACTCTTATTAAAAGTGAACTATTCTCTCAATTATATTTTGCAGTTTTGATATGGTCAGATGAGCCGGCTGCTGCATCTTCCCTGCCCCCTTCTCTCTCTTACCCTACCTCCGAATAAGAGTCTTCTGTGTCCATTTTCTAATAAACACTGGCAGTCCCTTCAGCCTAGAAAATACAAACATCATCCCTTCTTGTTTTTTTTTTTTCTTTCCCAGTCAAGGAGAAATCGCCCCCACTCTCTCACAGTCTTGCTCGCCATTCTTTCTACCTCCCTAAGTAGGACAATTTAATTTGTCAAAAGTAACCACCATGATTTTGAAAGTTCAGCTCCTATTTGGACTAGCGTTACGAAGCCAGAATTCATAATCGCGAGGAGCTGTCACTCTGATGGTCGACTTGCACATTAACTATTAATGGAGAAATATTTAAAACTCCACTTGCAAAGGAAAAGCTCCACTTTTCCCATTTCTGCAGATCAAAGGTGGCATTATTCTTGGGTTCGGGGAAGCGCAATCACCTCCTCCCATTCTACACATTTTATAGGCTGAGTGACCCAGAAACATGCCGTCCATGGGCTTGCTGAGCTTGGCTGCTGTCTTCTTCTTCCCCTAGAAGTCACCCACCACGGACTTCAGAAGTCTTTAAGGGTCTCCCTCTCGGGAACCCCTGATCTCCATCAGTTCTATGCTACACAGGGCAGGCGGCAGAGCTTGTCGTAAGCCTGTGTTGATGTATGTTGCCAAAGAAAAGCTTAATCTCAACACCCGAGCTGGTGTCTGGTGATTCTTATAGTAGAGCAAGAGTTTCTGAAAAGCCATTGACAATGACACTGGGACTTGTTTCCTCTGCATATACTGGATTTTTGGGAGCCAGTCTGTTTGGATACTCACCTTCCTGGACCTGGAGGGAGGGGGGAGGAGCTTGAACTTCCCACAGGGCAGGAAACCCTGACTGCTCTTAGGGATGGAGAGGGAGGAGGAGAGGGAGTGGGGGAAGTGGGGGGGGGTGTTGGGAGGAGGGGCGGAAGTGGAAACTTTTATAATTTAATAAACTAAAAAAAAAAAAAAAGAGTTACTTTAAGTTGGCAAAAATAGATGTGTGCCTCGAGTGAGGCCCAAATGACCACCAAGGGGCTAAAAGGAACTCTTCCAGGTACAATTCAAAATAAACACCCAGTAAGACTTTATTACAGCAGAATTTTTTATATTTTATTTATTTATTTATTTATTTATTTATTTATTTTTTGAGACAGGGTTTCTCTGTGTAGCAGCCTAGCTATCCTGGAACTAGCTCTTGTAGACCAGGCTGGTCTCAATCTCACAGAGATCTACCTGCCTCTGCCTCCCAAGTGCTGGGATTAAAGGCATGCACCCCTACT